AGAACATCCTGTATAAGTTATTAAGACAGTACCTGACAAGCAATTAATTTTTAATTAATTGAATCTTTAAAAAATTATTTTTATGATAAACATTAAAAATAATTTTTACATAATATAAAGCGTTTACCATTTACTGCATTACTACATATCCTTTCGCATATTCATAAACGAATTATCAAACATGCGGTAATATTGATGTTTTATTTAACACTTCTTCTTTTCCTCCTTTTGTTACTTTCGTCATTGAAAATTCCTGAGATTGTTGTACAGGGTGCTTCCGCAACATACAGATCAGTAAGTCGGGTTGCCTATTTGTTTATCGGCAGGGGCATGCTTTACCGGCCGTGCAGAATAAGGTTAGATCGCAAGTCCGGCGGAAAATAAGGCAAAAGAAATTTGAGTTTTACCATTCTGATATAGTGTAAGATTTAATAATATATATGCAATAGGAGTTGTTTAATAATAGAAATATTAATAACAACATAATAATAAAATTAGTAATCATTAAACGATTATTAAACAAATAACACAATTTACAAAATAGAGATAAATAATATTTTTTTATTTAAAACATGCTTATAACAAATGTTCTATTAAATTACCAGCTTCTTCTAAGCATAACGTGATTCTGCGTATGAAATTTTCTCTCACTCTGTTTAATGTAGCAAGAGTTTTCTGCACATGCGTTTCGTATTCTATTTTGCAAATCTTCTTAATTTGCTAGCAGTTTCATATATTTTATTTTTTAAAAAGCTCCACACGAAAAAATCCATGGGCGTAAGATCCGGAGACCATAATGGCCACACTGAGGACTATGAAGTCCGATCCATCTTCCCGGAAATTTTTTATTTAAAATTGTTCTCGCTACAAAAGACGTGTGAGCGGGATGTCCATCCTGTTGGAAAACCATTTCTAGTTTATTAGCTAGTGGCACATCTTCCAAAAGCTCGTCGAGTCAATGGAGAAGAAATTGCGAATAATATTGTGCATCCACATTTCCTTCGATAAATTCAGGGCCGATGACATGATCTCCTACGATTCCGAGCCACACATTTACAGTCCACCTACTTTGAAAATTGTGTTTTTTTGCACAATGTGGAATCATGTGTGTTAATTCTTCAAACGAACAAAACTGTTACAATTGTTTGTTCGATTGTTTTTCTTTCTGTATTCCTTATGTCCTGATCGCATTCCGTTTGACAGAATTTGACGTGAATTATACAGGTTAAAACGCGTTAAAAATTGAGTTAACATAATGGAACCGGAACGAAATCACTATTCGTTTGACGAATTAACGGACATAATTCTTATTTACGGCGAGTGTCAAATGAATCAAAGACAAGCAGCTGCACTTTACGCTCGAAAGTTTCCGGACAGACGCCACCCAAACCACAGTTTTTTTCATTGCCTTAAAGAAAGATTAAGAACAAATGGACAATTTCGTAAATCTCGCAAGCCGCTCCATGTTCCACAAAGAAATCAGGAGATAATTGATGCAGTTCAACAAGCTGTTGTCAGAAATCCTCACACAAGCACG